CATTACAGGCTGTATGCCAAACCTCCCTTGGGCTGTAGGGTGCCAATTCGTGCGGGCCCAAATACCTGGGCTGGGCAGTGCTGCACCCGCGCGACTAACAGCAGGAACACGTCGGGAAATTTTCCACCGGCTGAACCTTGCCGGATCTGGCGAAAACGACCATCCATGAGTACGTCTCGGCAAAGATATTCCGAAGGTGTCGTCGGTTTGCAGCGATTCGCTGGGTATCTCCGGAAAATCGAAGAAGATGACTGAAGGTTGACCATTTTTATTCTAGATCCAAAAACTTTGACCGGTAAATTGACGGCCTTCCGGGAGGAATTTTCGCTCCAAATTTTAAGGGTAGAACGAGCACAAGGAGAGCTTCCCAATGGTGCAAAAAATTTCCAGATCGGATGACTTTGACCGGCGGACGGCGGCGGAGGCGGCGGCGGACGGCGGACGGCGGCGGCGATTTCCGGCGAAGACCGGTAGCTAGAGGTTCGTCTCGTCGAGAGGATTCCAGTGGTACCCTCGGATTTTTCATAGCCCTCCCGGATTGTCGAAAAAATGCCTTTGAGTGCTCGATTTTGACCAAATTTTTGCTAGATCTGGAAACTTTGACCGCAAAATCGACGGCCTTCCCGGAGGAATTTTTGCATGAAATTTTAAGGAGAGGTTCCCCTCAAAGAGATCTATCCAATGACACAAACGATTTTCCGATCGGAGCACGTTTTCCGGCGGCCGGCGGCGAAGGTGGCGGCCGGCGGTGACGGTGGCCGGTGGAGAAGAAGGAGGTTTTCCTATATTTTCAGTCGGAACTCTGCATGACTTTTTTGACGGGTCCCCACAGACGGCGCCAATGAAGTGAATAAGATTCACCCGGGCTCCTTCAACTCGAACCGGCCTCCGTACCTGCAGAACCCAACGCCGGGTGGCCCCGGCGTCGGGCCTCCGATGCCTAAGTCAGTGCTCAGATCAAGAGAGAGATAAAGTGTAGTAATGTAATGAAGAGAGGATAGAGAGAGTGTAGTAGTGGAATGAGAAGAGAATAATAATAAGGTACCTTGGCCCCCCTTTTATAGGGGGAGTGTACCTTCGTGGGCTCAAGATGAGCTTGGCCCATAATGTTGGGCTTGGACGTCTTAGTGGGCTTATCTTCCAAAATGTATCCGCTTTATCCATTTAACCGGGTCCAGTATAATATCCTATATCAGAAACTAAAAAGAAAAAATCTTTTATTAAAACTGTTTGTAAAAATTTGCTTATTAATGATAGGTGGGCTTGTGTTGATTCAGTTGGGTCTAGGGGGGGTTTGTTGGTTTTTTGGTCTCAGAAGGTAGAAGTTGTGGATATTATTAGTAATAGCTTCAGTATGCAGGTCTGCTTCCAGTGGAATGGGAGTAGGGATAATATGTGGGCCATCTTTGTGTATGCTAGTAATGACCCAGGGGAAAGAAGGAATCAATGGGAGTTCCTTCTTAATAGCAAGAGTGGCTGGGGTGATAAGTGGTTTATTGCTGGGGATTTCAATGACATCCTCCATAGTGGGGAGAAGAGTGGAGGGGTTCTCAGAGGGGAGGCTAGCTTCAAGTCTTTTAGGGGTTTTGTGCAGAGTCTTAATGTGGTTGACTGTCCTACTGTGGGTCATGAGTACATTTGGGCTAATAATAGAAGGGGGAGGGAGTTTATTGAGGTGAAGCTTGATAGATTTTTTCTGTCCCCTGAGTGGTGGTTTAAATTCCCTAATTGCTCAGTTCTTCATGTTCCTTTAGTTTCTTCTGATCATTGCTTATTGCTTATGAACACTGAGACCACTAACAGAAAGGAAAGACAGAGATTTTTCTTTGATGGCAGGTGGGCCAAGCAGGAGGGGTTCCAGGAATGTGTATCAAAAGCTTGGAATACAGAGACTGGGGGAGTGGGTCTGTACAACTTTCAAAAGAAGCTTAGAAATGTAAAGTTGGGGCTTCTGGCTTGGACTGTGGGTCAGGGGACTAACTCTGCTAAAATTATCAAATCTTGTAATGCAAAGCTTCAGAGTTTAGGACGAGAAGGGGGGGATAGGGACTGGGATGAATGGGGTAGATGTAGAGATCAAGTTCATCAAGCTTATAAGAGTGAGAAGACATACTGGAAACAAAAGGCTAGAATTAGGTGGCTGCAGGAGGGGGATAGTAACACCAGATTCTTCCAAGCCTGTGTGAGACAAAGAAGAAGTAGGAACAATTTGGAGAATTTAATTTCAAAACTTGGGGTGAAATGTGCTGATGACAAGGAAATTCAGGGGGAAGTAGAGGAATTTTTTGAGAAGCTGTTCAAATCCCAGAACCCAATTTTTGTAGCAGAAGCCTTGACAGGAATGCCAAGATCAATAACCCAAGAAATGAATCAAGATCTCACTAGGGCTGTGGATGAGAGTGAAGTCAAGCAGGCCTTATGGGAAATGGAGCCTAGCAAAGCCCCAGGTATTGATGGTTTCTCTCCCCTTTTTTTTCAAGCTTCTTGGGCTATCATTAAGTCTGATTTAGTTGCTGCTGTGTCTAATTTCTTTAAATATGGGAGAATTCCTAATTCTACCAACCACACAGTCATAACTCTCATTCCTAAAGTTAAACACCCTCAAAAAGTGGCTGATTTCAGACCTATAAGTTTATGCACTATTACTTATAGGATCATTGCAAAAGTCTTGGCTAATAGGCTTAAGAGTGTGTTGCATGTGTGTATTTCTAGTTCCCAGGCAGCTTTTGTTCCTAATAGGCAGATTTTGGACAATGTCATCATTGCTAATGAGTGCATTCATTACTTAAATAGTAAAAAGAGAGGCAATACTAATGTTATGGCTATCAAGATTGATATGGCTAAAGCCTATGACAGGGTAGAGTGGGGTTTTCTGTTGAGAATTTGCAAGCATATGGGTTTTCATGATAAATTTATTGCCTGGATTTGGTCCTGTCTCAGCTCTTCTTTTTTTTTCTTTCAATATTCATGGGCAGACCTTGGGTAGTGTGATTCATTCTAGGGGTATTAGACAAGGGGACCCTCTGTCTCCATATCTTTTTGTGATTTTGTCTGAAGCCTTGTCCAATTTGATCCATCAGGCTTGCATTTCTCATTCTTTTAAAGGGCTCAGTATCAGCAAACACTCTCCTAATATATCTCACCTTTTCTTTGCTGATGACTCATTGGTTTTTTGTCAAGCAGATCTGTATCATGCTGAACTTTTGTTGAATATTCTTGATCTTTATTGTGGTGTCTCTGGGCAGGAGGTGAATCTCCATAAATCTAATATCTTTTTCTCTCCTAATACCCCACATCATGTTCAATCTGCCATTTGCCTTTCTCTTGAGGGCATCAAGGTGGCTAAGAATTCTAAGTACCTGGGCCTTCCTTTAGGAATAGGGAGGAATAAAAGAGAGACGTTCAACTTTGTTCAGGAGTGTGTAGTTGCTAAAGTCACAAATTGGAAGAACTCTTTTTTGAGTGAGGCTGGAAAGGAGGTTCTCATTAAGACTATTTTAAGTTCCTTGCCTGTGTATGTGATGTCAGTATTCAAGATCCCTGTGGGAGTGTGTAATGAGGTGTGTAGGACCATAGCAGGGTTTTGGTGGGGTAAAAATGAGAAGGGGGGTAAAAGGATCCACTGGGCTCACTGGGGTAAGATGGCCAAACCTAGGGATGGGGGGGGGGGTTAGGGTTTAGAGATTTAGTGGACTTTAATGAGGCCTTGATCATGAAGCAGTTGTGGAGAGTGATGTCTAAGCCTAATATTCTGATGAGCAAAGTGGTTAGGGGAAGGTATTTATATAAGCAAAGTCTTTTTAATGTCCAGAAAAAAGCTAGTGACTCATGGATGTGGAAAAGTTGGTTAGAGGTGAGAAAGACTTTTCTTTTGGGTATTAGGTGGCAGGTGGGCAATGGGAAATCTGTGCACATTTGGGATGATCCCTGGATCCCTCAGTCCCCAAACTTTAAACCTGTATGTTGTTTTGAGGGAGATAGGGAGAGATATTGTAAGGTGAATGATCTGATGACAGTTGATGGGAAGCAGTGGGATCATGATTTGATTTCTCAAGTCTTTAATCCTGTGGATGCTGAGAATATATTAAAAATTCACATAAGTCACAGAAATGTGAATGATAGGCTGGTTTGGCATTCTGATAGACAGAGAAATTTCTCAGTGAAGGAGGCTTACAAGTTTATTCAGAAAAAGAAAGCAATGGGCAGGGATTTAGTTGAATCTAGTTCAGCCAAGTTGAAGATGAAGCAGATGTGGCAGAATACATGGGGGCTCCATAGCCTAAAATTAAAAATTTTGTGTGGAGATGCTATCATAATTGGGTGGCCACTAAAGACAATCTGAGAACCAAAGGAGTGCTGGGAGATGTCATTTGTAGCTGGTGTGGTGACTGTGAAGAAGATTTGCATCATCTAATGTTCTCATGTGAAAGAGCACTGAAAATTTGGAAAATTGCTGGAATCTCTTGGAACTGCAACCAAAGGAAAGAGGCAAACTTTAAAGAATGGTGGCAAGAGGTTTGTTCAATGCCTCATAATGCCTTCAATAGAGACAGAATATCCCTATCCACATACTTGTTGTGGTGGATGTGGAAGACTAGAAACAGCTGAGTTTTTAACAAGGAAAGAAGGTCAGAGATGGATGTGGTGGAGGGGGCAAGATTGGAGTGGATAGAATATCAGGAGATTAAGACATCTCACAAGCAAGTTGGCAAGGTTTCTGGAGGCAGACATGGGCAATCAATCAGTGGGGGACAAGAAGTAGGGGTGCAGGGATCTGTAGCCAGTGCTGGAGTTTCTCACTATCAGACTGACTGTCTCAGAAATATAGCAGAGCAAAATGTTTCAGAAATCCATAGCTTCTTTTGCTCTAGGAAAGGATCTGCAGATCATTCAGTGGAAGCTGGGCTATTGGAGATCAGGGATTGGATGGTCAAGGGAAAAAGACAAGGATGGCCGAAAATTCATATATACATCAATGACAAGAAGTTGCTGAGGCTACTGTTAGTGAAGAAAGGATTTGACTCTGATGTGTTTGTGATAGCTGCTGATATTTTCTCCTTAACAACTGAGTTTGAGAGTGTGATGTTCCTGCCAGGAAGCTGAATTTGGGCAGCGTTTTTAGCATTTGTATTTGTGTTTTAGGTGCTTTTCGGTTGTTATTTGTATTTTCTTTTGGTGTTGGACCATGCTGGTCTCTTAGGGGGTCTGTGTTGTGATCCCCCTCTTGCTTTTTTTTTCAACCTTAGACTGTTTGGTTGGGGCAAGTGCAATCTGTTGGTTGCTCCCTATGTACATTTCTTGAGTTTATGGTTATTTCATATTTGATGTTTGAAAAAAAAAAAAAAGAGAGAAAAAATAAATGATAATCTTTTTATTTTTTAGACTTAAACGGACCCATTTGAAAAAACAACTCATTATTGGGTGAATTGCTGTTTATCGGACAATAAAACTGGGTCTGGTCTGGAATGTACACAGGCAGGGCTTACATTAGAAGCATATATATATATATATATATATATATATAAGACAAGTAGGAGGCGGTGATAAAGCGATTGTCCCTCTTTTGACTTTCGAAGTTTATCTATCGATGGCTTCTTCTTTCTCAATCACCCGTTCGGTTGGTCGGAAATGGTTTGCCGGATTATCTAATTATCCGATTGTACGGATGATTGAATCTTGTTCTTCCGTCGAATGTTCCAGGAATAGGTTTAACTCCTTTTATTCGAAAGACATGAGCACGTTGGCCGAGCCGCTGATGTTCTCGCCTTCAACGACACAAAACCACCCATCATCTCCTTGGCTTATGCTGCCGCCCTCCTTTGACGTGACCTTCACCGGCGCCGCCAGCATCAGCTACAACTTCTACAGCCTCGCCGACAATAAAATCGTAACCCATAATCTCCAAGAAAGAGAATTAGCGGACCCGCTCATGGAGTTCGCGGGATCTTCACTCGGCTGGCTAGCTTTGATGAGCCCCAGCCGCGATCTGTTCCTCTATAATCCCATCTCCGGTCGCCGTATAAACCTGCCTTCAGTTCGTGATCTCCCCGATTATCCTGATAACTTGGCTGAAGTCAATAAGGTCGTACTCTCGTGCTCCCCGGAAGACCCAAATTGTCGAGCCATCATTATCTACAACAACGTACATGGGCTGGCTTTCTGCTGCCCCGGGTTTAGCAAGGAGTGGACACATATTGGGGATCACAACTGGTTTGATGAAAATTTGGGACGGTCCTTCCGCCCGGGCTATAGGGATTGTGTCTACTCCACAAGACATGAAGCATTGTTTAGCCTCACGAGACAGGGCTTATTGGAATCTTGGGATCTTCGGGACCCTTACTCACCGAGGGCTGTGAAGATAGCCGAGGTTGGTGAGAGTGATGGCAAAATTTGGTATGAAAAGCAGAAGCACTTGTCGTTAACGTGTGAGCCATTGGAGCATCTGGTAGTGGCCGGGCAGGATCAGGATATTCTGGTGGTTACTCAATACGTAGTTGCAACATTTGATTTTGATGGATTGTATGCCGACGGCAATGATCCGTCTAAGAAGACCATCAAACGAGGCCTTCCCTGTGTGACTTCTGATTTTGATGTTAAAAAATGTAACCCTGAGGATGAGGATGTTAAGTACGTGGAGTCGTTAGATGGATTGGCTCTTTTTGTTGGCTACCAGAGTGATGCAGTCGCGTTGCAGGTGGCAGAGTTCCCGGAGCTCAAGTCCAATTCCATTTACTTCACGGATGGATTAGAGGACGGACTGATTGAGGACTACCCGACGGGTGGCCATGACATTGGCGTTTTTGATTATGAGAATAAGACTGTGTCGCCATGCTATTATCCATGTGATATCAAGAAGATGAAAAAGACTTTCCCAGCGCCTATGTGGTTCTTCCCAACTCGTACATGATTTGGTCTTATGGCTTCTACCGGCTACGGTTTTAGTAATTTACTAATTAATGGTCTTTTTTTTTCTAAAGATAAATTATGCTTTCATGTTTGTGTTAATTGGTGTTGGCGTAATTCCTTTTTAGTTATTTTGCTACTTTGTTTTTATGAGATTGATGTGTATTTGAAGTTTTATATGGTTGACTGTATATTGTCGGAGCGAATGACTTAGTATTTTTCTTGAACTATTCAGTTCCATTCAAATGTTTATAAAAATTCAAAGTTTATTGGATAAAAAAGTTATTACCTAATATTACGGATTTGAGTTTTTTTAACTGTAACCCGAACTTATTTGATAAACATTTATTGGATAAAAAAGTTAATTACAAGGTGTATTAACAAAAAAAAAAAAAAATGATATGAGTTCTTTAACTGTATTCACCTTTGTGGCTGAATCTTGGAGGGGGAAAAAAAATAGATGAGTTCTTTCGACTGTATTCAGAAAAAGACAGAGTTCTTGTAGCTAATCATTGGAGAAATTCTTGGACTCCTATGCTC